GCTCCTTAGCATTGCAAAGAAAGGGTTTGCTTTATCTGGCCCTGATTAGTCTCCATCTTCTCTTCCGAGTTTTAGCTAGGGAATTTTAACATGCTTTAGTTTTACCTAGTTTTCAATGTTAGCAGCTGGGTAAACAAACTTTCTGCAACACCCTGGATAAAATGGCAAACTCCAGGGAAAATTCTTCCACCTTTAAGTGAAAAAAAAAAAGATTTGCTCAGAGCCATGGCTGGGGAATAGTAACAGCTGAGAGCACATAAGGGGAAATGTGTGTGCTGGCTGTGGAAAACACTGCTGATGACCAAAACAGGCAGCCGCCGATGAGGCTGACCACTCTCAGAGAGTAGCGTCAAACTGCACTTAGCTAGAATAACAGAGAGGTGAGGTAAATGACTGACATCTCTGGTAGCACTTTCAAAAGAGTCTGCGAATTTCACAGGCGAACACAAAGGGAATCATCTGATTCTAAAAAAATTAAATGAATGCTTACCACGGACAGGGAGGGAAGTACTCAAAAATTGCTCAAGAAAAATACTTTGGAAGGAAGATATTGAAACACAAGAGGAAATTCACATGTATATTTAGGACAGCAGACTTTGTAAAAATCCATGAATGCTTCTGTTTTCACTTTTAAATATCAAGTTGGGTGTGAGGGCTCAGAGGGTTTTTTTTTAAATAAATGCAGTGAGTCCATCATTCCTAGAGTTTGTTTTTAAAGTTACTGGCAGTGCAAATTCACTCTCACAAATCCATCTACATTTTTACATATTTTAAAGATTTTCTAAAATAAAAATATAGGCTGAGGAAAGCGCCTATGAGCATTAAAGAACAGTGCTTATGATGTAATGTTTAATAGCAAACAAAGGCAAAAACATGGTATACTCACATGGTAATGTAGTTACTATTACTAAAATACACTTTCACTATAGAAGTAATTGGCAAACCACACTAAAAAAAACTGCAGCATGTGCAAGTACATCAACAAGCTCAAAAAAAGACAAAAAGACAATAAGTAACAGGCACAGACTGTAGATGCAATACTTTTGTAAAACAAAAAAATTTTTACAAGGTTATATGAAAAATATGGAAAACTAACTTCTTAGGTTCATCAAAACAAATGGTTTATGGAAGGGTTAAAAAATGACAACAAAAGAAACATGTCTTCTGGAAAGTCAGCAAGGGTTACCCTAGAGAAAGGAGAGCAAGGGTTTTTGTCTATTTTTTAATGCTATACTGCTGGTGCTCAGAACAGTTCTTAGCACATAGTAGGTGACTGATAAATATTTAAGGAATAAATGAGTGCATGAGCAAATGGGAAGCCGACAGCACTTACACTCTGAGGTCACTCTGGTCTCTGCAGGTCAGAAGGGAGGTCTTGCTGACTCCACATTACAGGAACACTTTGAACTTTCTACCAGGTAGAGTATTCCCTTTAAGACTTCTCTTCAGGTTAGACAGAAAATAGAAGCTGCTGCTAAGTAAACCCATTTTATGACCAAAATGAAAAAAATCCTTTATTTTACGAGTTTAAGGAACTCCTTTGTCATAAGGACTATCACGCCTTTCACAACACATTTCCTGAACCCACTCTTGCTGCCCAGCTCAGGCACACCGCCCTCTGCCGCCTCCTGCTCTCGTTCCCCGCAGGCGTCTGCTCAAACGTCACTTCATCACAAAGGCCCTCTCTGACCAGCGTGAACAAGATCACCAGCCTCACACCCAGTTGTTGGCACTCCTGTGTTATTTTTCACCAATTTACTTTGTTTCAGTCACTTCTCTACCCCCCAATGCTTGTAACAGTGCCTACTATATCATAAGGGGTCAAAAAAATTTGAGTGAATAAACAAACAAGGACACAGTAACATTTCATATGCCACTTTGGGGAGGCAATATGATATATGGAAAAAGTGTGGCCTTTTGAATTCCATTTCTAATTAACTATTCACTATGTGCCTGACCTTGAGACTAACCTCCTTAAACTTCAGAATTCTCATCTGTAAATAGCAATAATAGTAATGCTTATCTGGCATGTACTTGGAATCCACCAAATGCTGGTTTCTCTCCTTCCTTTCTCCTTGCATCTTTTTGTGGGTGAGTGCTGTTAGAAAACAAACTTATAGTGATTCACAAGTCCTGAGATATCTGTGAAATGAAAGGAACAATGTGCTGAGCAAGACCAGAATGCTGAGCAGACCCCTGAGCTACATCACCCCCAACAACAATTAATACTGATGGTACTTGTGTTTGTTAACTGATAGGCTGAACACTAGGTCCAAAAAGGACACCTTCTTTCCTACAGCTGCTGCCCTCCAACTGAGAACCCAGATAGAAATATTAGAGGGTGGTTTCGTGGAGATGTAGAATTGGCCTTGAAGAATGACTGTGTTTCAGAATAATGTTAAGTCTGGGAAGCACTGCAAAGAGAAAACAAAAGAAGCCAAATGGGAGTGTAGCTGGAGCAGGGGCTTTCTAATTAAAGTGTATTAAGATAAAAGGTGGACAGGAAAGGTGATGTCAGATTGTGGAGGACCCTGAATGTCAAAATGAAGAGACTAGATTTAATCCTGTAATTCACTGACAGCCACCAAGGTTTTTGAATATTGGAAAAACACAGAATCATATAATAAAAGTGGCAAATTTTAAAGCATTCACAGAGACTTCTAAGCACTAAACAGTACTAATGAATCCAGTGACATCTGTTCAAAAAAACAAATGACAAGGTTATAAATGGGAATAAATCTTCCCTGATCATCACTATTTGATCCATCATGAAGGGGAAGAGACTTGCAGAACTGCAAGCCATAAGAGAGTACCAAAAAAATGTCAACACACTAGCAGAAGAGAGCACAAAAGCTGGTCTCCAAGCAACCAAGGGCTCTGTGGTCTACATTTTAATAGCAGTACCTATGATGATGTGACCTCCCTATCAAATTTCCTCTCTTAAGACTACACCCTAGTCCTTTCCTTGTAGTTTGATTCCTTATTCCTTGTTGAATCTGAATAAAAATGTAACATCCTCATGGGTTAAACTCTCACTTCTGTGTTTAAGAGTAGAAAGAAGGTGACAGATTATTTGATCACCCCAAAGAGGAAAAATAGAAACTAATCTGTTACAGATGTTGCTAAAAGTCTTTCCACAGTTGAATTCTATAACAAAATTTAGCAAGGAATAAAAGTTTTAGGACACAGGAAACCAATGACTTAACTTTGTGGTTCTTGAAGCTATAAAGTGCTGGCAACTAAATAACAAGATGACACTTGTATCTGCCTAGGTTTTATATTTTCTTGGGATCTCTTCTCACAGCATGGACATGATTTATTTAGACTATCAAAGAGCTTTTGATAAGGTTCTCACAAGTGGCTATTATTGAAACTTGGTAACCATGGTGTGAAAGGAAAAAGTCATATCAATGAATTAAATGAATTAAAAATGCCTGAGAGGCAAAGAGGCAAAAAGCAGAAATAAATGGCCAATTCTCATGTGGAGAAAGGTTAATCAAAGAGGGCTCTGGGGCTTTGCAGCAGAATCTGAGTTATATTTAACTAATGACCAGGAAAGGGGAGCTCAATTCTCATTCCCCCACTCTGTGTGTATCAGTCCCACACACAGAGCCCCATTGATGTGAAGAGCATTTGGCACATGGAGGAGATACAAGCAGCATCGAGAAGTGGTATTTAAAATCCAGGAAAGAACAAACAGGTAAATGAATGTTGACTCAGAAACTCATGTAGAGACCCCCAAATATTAAGAACAGAAATAAAAATAACATCAGCAGAATTCTATTTCCTAAGAACTTTGATATACACTACATAGGAATACATGGACCTTTTCAAAAGGCTAGATATGGTATTGGAAAAAAAGTACCTAATTTATTGGTATGATGAGAGCAAATTTTCAATACTGAAGAACAGCTATGTGGGTATTTAGATCCATAAAACCCACAAAGCTTATTTCTACAGATTGAGGAGAAGTTTAGAAACAAACAAAAGTGAAACTAAAAGGAAAGAATAACTTACTTTTATTTTTTGAGTCAAACTTGAAAACTTGGTACAGGTTTTACAAAAGCATAACCTAACATGAATGAAATAATTTGGAAATTAAATACTCTAATTCATTAACATTAATATTTTATGACCTATTACTCAATCTGGCATTTTCAATGACACAGAATCATCACAATGATGCACAGGAGGGGCTCAGAAAAGCCAACAACATCTTGACCTTACCTCCCTTTGCCTTAGTTTCCTTACCTGTAAAATGGCAATAACAAAACTTACTCCACGGGATAATTATAAAAGTGAAATGAGATAATATATATGGAATATTTAACACAATAAAAGTATAAAATAATGTTGAATTATTAATGTTATTACTGTTGTTATTACTACTTATAATATACTTACCCAAACAGTTATAGGCCACAGTGAAGCAACCTAATTCAAGTCACTGTGACTTTTATATATATATCATTGTTATGAATCAGTCTTTAATAAAACATATATAATGCTTTAAAATGCATTTGAACGGGCCGGCCCGGTGGCGCACTGGATAAGTGCGCCGCTTGGGAAGCGCGGCGGCGCTCCCGCCCGAGGGTTCGGATCCCACATACAGACCAGTTCCCGCTCACTGGCTGAGCGAGGCGCGGGAGTGACGCCGAGGGTTGCGATCCCGTTGCCGCTCCCCGGTCCGGTACAGGGGCAACACTGAGGGTTGCGATCCATTGCCGGACACGGAAAAAAGACAAAAGACAAAAAAAAAAAAAATGCATTTGAACAATATATATATATGTAGCTTTTTTTTTTTTTTCCTTTTTTTTGTCTTTTTTCATGTCCGGCGATATATGTAGCTTTAAAACATCTTTCCACTAACTAGTTTTGTGAAATGGAAGAGAATAACAAGTTGATCTAATTTAAAAAAAAAAAAAAAAAAACACAAAACACCAGATAAATGCTTATTACATATCTATTCTTAAATGTATGAATACTAGATCCAAGCTTACCGTGTAGATAGTATTTTAATAAGCTCTTTTCTATTCTGTACCCGAAGGTGGTTAGTCTTATACTTGGAGTCATCAATCAACTCAGGCAAATTCAAGATCTAAAAGGGAAAAATAATTTTAAATTTTAATTTACAAGTTTTCTATGTACCTGTCTCTGGGTGCTAGTATTCAGGGATTATCACTCCCTTCTCAGGAGCATTCCTTGCTGGTCTTTGTCTCTCAACAAAAGGATATGAAGGGAGCAATCACACAATTAGGACGGATCGGGTTTGTCACTTATAAGAGGTTTTTACTACATTTAAGCATGTATGCCTACATATGGGAGCACAGAAAAAGAGTTATCAGATCCCCATTGAAAAAATAAAAATAAAGTCTTATCCACAGGATGTAGGGAGAAAGATACAAAATCAGGTATAACTGACCTAATTCTGAGAAACAACATCATATAAAGGCTACAAACAACATAAATCTTAGAGGTTCACTTATTTGTTCCACATGTAAATAAAATAGTATTATCTGTCTCCGAAGTCCTATCCAGGATGTTGTACAAGGTGCTAAAATAAAAAGAAAACATATACATTCACCCAAATGCTCATCATTAAAACAATGCCAAAATAAAAGATCTTCCTATACAAGTGTCGCTATTTTTCCTTGGTATGTTTCCCTGAAGGAATACTGACTAGAAATACTTTCATATACTTCCTCTTTTGTTCCTCCCCAATAAAGGGAAAATCTATCTTGCAAGTCCCTTTGGACATCTTGCAATTTTAACAAGACCATAATGAAAGTACCAAGTGGATTTGGAATGGAAAAGAAGTTTTAAAAAGAATGTGTGGAGGCAGTGTTTGGCAGTTGCATTGGAAAGTCAGAGGAGCATTTACGGGCTGGGGGCAGGCCATGTGGCCTAGAGAAAGCTTCACTGCCTTTATTAATGTATTTGCTTTCAATATAAACATTTAATGGTTTCATTTGTTTCCCACAGTTTAAATAAAATCAATCCATTAATCATCTTACAAAGGAGAGAGAAGTGAAGAGGATTCCCCGGAGTAAAGAGACCATCTCAATGGTGTAATTTCTCTTTCACATGTTCCACTTATTCATTTCCTTTAGGAATAATAAAGACAGCCTTACTCTCCCAGATTTTAAAAAGCGACACATACAGTGCCCTTTCTAGAAACCTTCCTGTCACTACACCTGATTTCAGAATTGGCCTCAAGTCATGTCCAGCAGTCAGAAACCTCCCTCCCTAAAGGTGCATAAGTCATTTTAAGAAAAAAGCAAGTATCTTCACTAAATCCCAAGTTTAATTTATAAATCTGGCCTTACCCAGAATATGCTATCAGCTACATAAAAAAAACTAGAGTGACTGCATCCAAGGGTAACTGGGATGCCCATGACTCCTCTGTATTTGACTTATTGGACCTCTTTTCTCTTTCAAAGTTGGTGTGAAACAGTAGTCAAAGTAATTATCCTTCTGTCTTCAGCTATGCTGGCTAACACATGAAATGTTTCTAGAGACAGCTTCAAGAGCTGTGATCATAACCATTCTTCAGGTGCCTGAAAAAGAGTGCTGCCTGGGACTAAAATAAAACAACAGTGCATGTAAAAATGCTGACATGTTAAGCACTAAATAAATGTGAAGTATTCCAACTAGGTACTGTTTCCCACAAAATAAATAATAAAGCATATGTTCATTTAAACATGAAGGAAAAGAGGGAGAAAAAGAGGGAGGGCCCCATGAAAACTGAAACGACATAGTAACATCAACATATACTGAAAATCACATTAGACAATATCTTAATGTTTGCTTTCACCCAATAAACATACTTCAAATAACTCATGAGAATATTATATTCACCAGATATTTACTACTTGTGTTGATCTTTCTTCATTCCTGGTGTTCCCAGTTTTCTTCAGACATCATTTACAGAAGGTAAAAGAACTTCCTTTGAAAATTCTTTTAGAGTAGTCATCTGGCTACAAAATCTCTTAGCTTCCTTAACAGGAGAATGTCTTCATTTAACCTTCAGTTATTAAGGATATTTCTACTGAAGTTTTAAATCTGGGTTGGCAGTTCCTTCCTTCCAGCCTTTTAAACATGCTGTGCCCTCTCTTTCTGGAAGCTCTGTAGTTTCTGACAAGAAATCTGCAGTCAGCTGAGTCATTGTTCCCCACAGGTAATACATTGTTTATCTCTGGGTGCTTTCAAGATTTTTGTATTTGTCTTTAGTTTCGTAAACATGCTGTGCCCTCTCTTTCTGGAAGCTCTGTAGTTTCTGACAAGAAATCTGCAGTCAACTGAGTCATTGTTCCCCACAGGTAATACATTGTTTATCTCTGGGTGCTTTCAAGATTTTTGTATTTGTCTTTAGTTTCGGCAGTTAGTTTTTAATATATTTAGGCACAGATTTCTTTGAGTTTATCCCATTTGGTTTTGCAAAAATTATTAAATCTATATGCTTTTATCTTTCAGCAAATTTGGGAAATTTTCAAAAATTTTTTCAGCATGTACTCTTTCTCTTCTCCTAAGATTACAATTACATAAATATTGGACTTTTTGTTATTGTCCCGCAGGCCCCTGAGAATCTGTTCTTTCTTTTTTTAAGTAGGAAGAGCTATCTTTTTTTCCCTCTGCTGTTCAGATTGAATAATTTCTACTGATCTATCTTCAAGTTCCTTGACTGCTTCCTCTGTCATCTCCATTGTGCTACTGAGTTCATCCAGCGAAGTGTTTTTATTTCTTGGTTATTTTATTTTTCAGTTCTAAAATTTCCATTTGGTTCTTCTTCATATCTTCTATCTCTTTGCTGTACATTTTCACTTTCCCATTTGTTTCAACAGTGTCTGTGATGCTTGTTAGAGCATTTTTATAATAGCTGTTGCCTTTGTGAGTTAATTCCAACATCTGTGTTGTCTTGGCATTGGCATTTAGTTATTGTCTTTTCTCATGCAAGTTCTGGTTCTTCATATGCTAAGTAATTCTGGACTATATCCTGGACATTTTGAATATTATATTATGGCCTCTGGGTCTTGTTTAAATCCTACAGAGAATTTTTGCTGTTATTGTTTTCAGCAGGCAATTGACCTGGTTAGGTCCAGGCTGCAAGTTCCAACCCACCTTCTGTGTGCTTTGATTGTAATGTTGGTTCAGTTTTCAAAGCCTTTGCAGTGCTATTTGAATCTGCCCCGCATATGCCCAATTTAATGGTCACATTACAACCTGGGCAGTTGTCTATTTGTTAATTGATTTCTCAAAATCTTTGGTATGCTGATTAGAATCAGACCAGTGCATGTGCAGCTCAGGGGTGAAACCAAGAGTTCATAAACAACTTCAAGATTGCTTTGCGAAGCTCTTCTCTCTCTGCAGTCTCTCCAGCACTTTCTAGATCCCTGGGGCTCACTCCTAAGTTGCTTCACTCCCCACCATACTCCCAGGGCAGAGGCCGAGCAGTGGGAGGACAGAGAAAAAAGCAAGAGGACTCACTCTTCTCTTTGGGATCACAGCTCAGCACTAAAAAGGAAAGTTCCTCTTCCTCAGAGTTTGGCTCCTGCTCATCTGCTACTACTACAGGATTACTTGGGGGCTGAGGCATGAGAAAATGGAAAGGAGGAAAAACTGCAGGATTTATACTCTCTCTGACATTATGCTCACTTTTTCATGCTCCTTGAACCAGAAATAAAGAACATCTCCTGGCACTCAGCTCTGTTGCCTGGTGCCCACTCCCAGGTTTAAGGCTGTACTGCATATAGGTAAAGAAGTAACTAGAGAGAAATACTGGTAAACTTACTGCCAGTTTAGAGGTACTTCAAATTCTGGTGTTCTTCCTTAATTCTCCTCCTATTTACTTTTTAGGGTCCTCAAATAGAGGTTCCATGCATTCTGTCCAGGTCTTATCACTCCGCTCAATGGAACAGGCTGCGACAAGTGTGCTTACTCTAGTCTCCCCAGAACCAGAATCTCCACAACTAATTCTCTTAGGGCCATTTGTTAAATGCAGACTAGGAGCCAGGACTGTTCTAAGTGTTTTACTTATCTAATTCTTACAAAACCCCACAAGTTATATATTAGTATAGTTATGTATTATAATTTTAATTTTATAATGAGGAGACAGATGCTTAGAAAAGATGAAGTACCTTACCAGAGGTCACCTGACTAGTGACAAGATTCCTACTAGGCCCTAAGAATTATGCTATAACATCCTCAGACCACCTGCTCCAAAGTCAACTACAGTGCTTATTAAAATTTAAGATTCTTTTGCCCCACCCCAGACATACTAAATCAAAATCTCTGGGAACAGGGCTCGAGGAGATTCCTCTGCATACTAACGTTGACAACCAATGCATGTTGCCTCCATCAGAAGAAGCCTTCGGTCTAAATGACTTAAAAAAGGATGTCAATATACTTCAAATAGGAATACCCATTAGTGTTGGCATCAATCAGCTTAAAATAGCTTACATATGCTCACTTTGCCTACTTTTCTGTATATTTTAAGGGACATAAAATAGAATTTGTTATAAGCCAAGGTTCACTTTATACACAGGAAGATTTTCTGAATCCCAAGCCTTGAACCCAATGTTCTGGATCCCATGACAATCCCTGACAATGACAGTTCCCTAACAGGGCCCCTCCCCAAAAAGTATCAGTCAACAAGTACATCAAATTCTAGGCTGGAACAAGACTAAGCATTAAGTAAATTTCACTCATTCATCGCAAACAATACTGCCATGTTTCTCCCCAGTGAAGCCACCTTTCCTGACTGGACCTTACTTAGCAAAAGAACAATTTTGGTCAGCTCACTGTGAAAAACTGGGGACCTCACCTTCTATTAGGCTAGTCTGAACAATGAACCCCTCGGTAATAGATAAATCTGAATAAAAAATAGTTATAAGAAATTCATTCACTATATATGACTGGGAGGGAAGAAACACCTTGCATCAGCATAGGGGAATAGATGATTTTTCTTAGGTGACAAGTTTACAGGTAAGGATATAATTATGAAGATTAAAAAAGTCAATCAAGACCAGTTCCCGCTCACTGGCTGAGCGAGGTGCGGGGGCAACACCGAGGGTTGCGATCTCGTTGCCGGTCC